ATATATAGATGATTAACTAGTTTTGCAAACAAATTTGATTTGTGAACTTCATCAGTATTGGTCGAAGTGTTTTCTAGCGACCCCTCAACCTGAGATCAAAGGGTATCGGAAATGTTGTTGAAATTGTTGTTTTAAGAGCATATATATGGTCGCAACACGTCGTCAGGTAAAGTAAAGAACGTTATTGGAAATGTTTTGGTATCTTCATATCTCATCACTTTGATTGTAGATCCAATACATCTTTAGTTAAGAGTTTGCTTGTATGTTTTACTTTGAAAAAATTGTTGCATAAACTGGTGAAATGGAGCTAAAAGGAATCCAATAAAATTAGTTCAAATGATATACCACAAGGTTTCAGGCTTATAGTTGGAACTACAAATGTATCTAAACACTTAATAGCATCACTCGATTACGTAGTTTGGAGCAACGGCTAAGATCCTCTCGTCTCTTTGTGAAGATTTTCTCCTTGTTTCCTCTGCTTCTGTGGCTTCTTGCTCATTTGCTAACACTATAAGATGACCTTCTTTACATACCAAACTCTGTTTGGAACATAGGTTGTGTTAGACAGAAACAATGAATTGAAATGGTTAATCTTAACTTATAAAAATTGTTTTGGATTTTACCTCAATGATGGCTCTGAGCTTCTTGATATCGAGTTTAACCTGCTCTTGCGAACTGTATTTCTTTTTCTCATTCTGTTGGTCGATGTACCATCGAATCAGTTCCTTTTGTCTCATTCCAGGCAATTCAGAACCTAAAGGATAAAAGAGATATTAGGAGAATGATTACAGAAAACTTATTGGTTTCAAGAGCTGAAGAGGAAGATGAATATGGTGATGTTGCTTACTGTCTTTTGCTACAGTTTCTTCATGTTGTCTAAGGCGAATCACTAGAGCCTGTGTAATTCTATCATATTCTTCCTCGCTAATCACCAGCTTTGGAGCTGCTGCTCCATTATCTGTTGATTCACCATAATGTTTGATATGTCTCTTAAGTGGGTCAGAGAACAAAAGGAAGAGCATAAACGGAACGTAAGTTACCTGCAGTTGCAGCAGCTGGCTCCGCTGCACCATTCTGTTGATCTTCATCTCCATTAGTGGGATTTTCGGCCTCTTCTGTGTCGTCGATGTTGTCACCGTTAGCATCTTGATACTCAGAAAGATCGATATCTCCTGACTCAACACTGTTCAAGAGAAACAATGATGGTTGTTCAAGACTAAGATTTTGGGTGAAATCAAGATAACGAAAAAAAACAGAAAGGGGTTTGAGAGTTTACCTGATGACTGAAGTCTTCAACAGTCTCACAGCCAAAAGAACATGACTTGGTTTCACCTGAATCAAAAAAAAAAGTTCTCATCCAAAATAAAGAAAATGAAATGTGGGAAAGAAAAGAGAAACGAGAGATAGTCGTTAACGATTATAACCAGAATTTCCAAATGACTCCTAGCAATGGCTTCTGAGAGCCTGATCAATGCCTCCAGCTGCCTAACTGTCATTCTATACGCGACTCTTGTTCCAGGTGTTGTATCGCCTCTACGTAGAGCAACATAAGACTCGACCAGCAGCTTTCTTGCTTCTGGACTTAGCTGCAACAGGAATTAAGACACAGAAAAAGGACTGTTAGCATCTCCAACAGAAGAGCCTTTTGAAGTCAAACTCATTATTTGTGTAAATCAGTTGAGTGAGCTACAAACCTTTGGCTTCAAGGTTTTCGCATATGCAATGTAGCGCTTGAGTTGTACGGTAGTGAATTCAGGAGAAAGCGCTGCTTCATGCTTCTGATGAACTCGCACGATATGATGGGCAATGTGGTAATCCGTTACCTCATCAGGGTCGTCGATCATAACATACACAAGATCAAACCTCGAGAGAATGGCAGGTGGAAGGTTAACGTTATACTGAAAATAGCGTGAATAAACCACAATTAGAAACAGAACAAAAACAAACAAACAAAGACATGATAGTTACAAAGATAAATAAAAATATCCATCTGTTTGGATTCAAATACGAGGATAAACTCACCTTAAGTGGTTTAGACTTATCATATCGCCCACCAACAGGATTAGCTGCTGCAAGGATTGATGTCCTGGCATTCAAGGTTGCTTGAATCCCAGCTTTTGTAATGCTTATCGTTTGCTGCTCCATTGCTTCGTGAATAGCAACCTTTGTGCCCAAATGTAATAGTAAGGTTCCATTAGCCACAGTCTAGGAAACTCAATCCTCTGAAGTGTAATAAGCAATGATGATCACTTACCTGATCTTTGATATCCATCTTGTCAAACTCGTCAATGCAACATATTCCATTGTCAGCAAGCATTAAAGCACCAGCCTGTCAAAGGGTCAGATGGCACATTAATTAAAATCTACACGCATAGAAATCACATTATCAAAGGAGGCTAGCATTGTTCAAAGCGATCTACAAAGTTTAGGTTACTTGAAAATTACGTTGCAAGCAATCTATAACAATGCACATAAATTTACCTCAATACAGAATTCCCCAGTTTCTGGTTCTTTAGCCACAGTTGCAGTCAACCCAGCTGCAGAAGAGGATTTCCCAGATGTATACACAGATCTTGGAACTATGCCTGCTGTATACCTGCAAATAACAAACCGGGGCTTAGATTTCAGAAAATATAAAGACAGACAGGTATGATTTTCAATGAGAATCAGTACTTGAGGAATTGGGATTTAGCACAGCTGGGATCCCCAACTATACAAACATTGATGTCTCCTCTAAGGTTGATGCCTTCATGAGTGGTCTTGTGCACACCTCCTAAAAGCATAAGTAGAACTGCACGCTTGATGTCTTGATGACCAAAAACGGTTGGGGCCATGCTTCCAACTAACTTATTAAAGTAATCTGGAGTATTTCTCATCTGCTGAATTTCATCTAGCTCTTCTGCCTACAAAGTTTAATTTCATAAATAAGCATGTAAGAGGTCATCTAAAAGAGTAAACGTGGAAGAATAACTGTCTCAAGTCCTATAGGGGATTTATTCTAACCCTCACCGTGAACTGCTGCTGATCATCTTCGCTAGAATCATTTTGGCGGTTCCTCATGTCAGTGTTCCTACTACCATCAGCAATCTGGAAAAATATAAACATTGAGATTGATAGACACATCTCACTTAGTTGTTTTTTTACAGCTACTGCGGTTGACGAACCTGCACTGAGTTTGCAATAAAGGCAAGCCGATACGAAAGATCTCGAACTCCCAAAGCCTTGAGACCTTGGACACCTTCATGTCCAACGGTGGAGCTTTTCTGTTGTGATGAGTCTCGACGACATTCTGCTCTCTCTCCAGGTGCTGCCAGTGCCGATATGTCAGGTATAACAACTACCGTTCCCGTAAAAATAACCCTGTGAGGACAAAACCCAAAAGAAAGGACTCACAATGAATGCAACTCTTGATCCTTATAAAGATGGCGAAATAACTTAGAGAAACAGGTCAAGAGGAATCTTACGTATCACCAGCTCTGGCTTGTTCCACAATCTCATGGCGCAAAATGACATCCAAAGACCTTGGCAAGGAACCTGCAGGTATCTCTTTTGAAGTCTCCTGCATTCTAACTCTTTGCCAATCCGCAAACTTGCTCTCTTGTCTAAGTAGTGCCCATTTTGTTCTGTTCAGACAAGTTGGGCTCACACAGATCGTTGGCTGCATCAAGGCCATAAATTATTAAACAAAAAAAAAAGCTGAAACAAAGAACACAAGCTAACACTTCCTACATAAGTTTTAAAAATGACCGAAACCAAGAATCAATTACCTGTGTGTACTTAAACTGTTGCTCAACGTTCTTTATAACACTGCCACAATCTAAGCACTTGAACGTCCCATAAAGAAGCTCAGGTCTCACTTCGCTTGTTCGGGTAACCACGCCAGTGACCGACACTAGCTTCCCAATTTCTGCAGTGGTCAGCTCCCTCAACCTGGAAAGTCGATAAATGGAGCCATAATCACAATCACCACAGACCACACACTAAAAAACTCAATCTAAACTGTTCCAAGGCTAGCAGAGAAATAAACATCTGCCTTCTTATATCAAAAACATGAACTAGAACTTAAAAATGAGCCTAGTTTCAACTTTAGAAGAAAGCATTACCTCTTTGTGAAAGGGAGGTTGTAGAAGGAAACATTGATATCTTTGTTCGGAGTCTCATCCGAAATGAAAGAAGGATTCATTTCGATCACAAACCTTTTACACGCATTCCTCAAATACGGCTCAAACCTAACCAATTTATTGCCAAAAAAATCAATAAACCCAGACAAAAAAAAACTAGGGCTTTAGGTAAATTTCCGCCATTAGAGAAAACCCCAAACCTCAGATACTCGTCGGCAATTGCTTTCTGAAGAGCGTCATTGAAACCCATGACATGTGAGAAATCGATGTACATCATTGTGGATTCGCCGCCTCGAATTGCTTCAATCTCCGCCTCGTAATATAGCTCCGGCTTGTTCGCATCTAATCGAAAACTGAAATTGGCACCAAATCAAACGTTAATTCACAAAACAGAGCTTGAAATTCTGGAAAACAAAAAACAAACCCACCTCTTGAGGAACTCTAAGAATACGTTCTCCACTTGAATCGCTTGCTCATCCATGACGAACCCACCAAAAGCCTCCATTTTTCAAAATCTACCTTACTGAAATTGTGCGAGGAGATAAAAACCCTAAATTCGTTTGAACAGAGAGTACAAATGAGGCAAAAAAAAAAACGGATTCTCAGTTTCTTCTTCGCTATGGGGCAAAGCAAAATGTTGAGCTCCGTTTGTAGCGGGAAATTAAGTGGGGCCTGATAACATTTTCCCGCCAAATCTAAAGTAATGCTCATAGTGGGCCTTGATGCTGGGATTGGGCCTAGATATTGAGCCTTATTATAAATATTAAGGTAGATTTAATAAATCTTATTTTAAACTTAAGTGATGGAGTATTATCCAAGTGGCAGGCGTTTCGAGGCAATCTACATATCTCAGCCACTCGTATTATCCACGAAATCTAATTTACAATTTTTCATTTCTCTTTTTAGAAAATAAACAAAAGAAAAGGTGAAAACAAAAATATAGCGAATTGTGTTAACGTTGGATGATTTGAATCGTCTTCTTCCTTTGGTATTTTCAATCGAGAGTAGAGATCTTCAGAGATGCAGAGTCTGTGAATTGTTAGAGGAATTTTTTTTGTTACTTTTAGAATATACAGAGGAAAAAAATGGTGGCGACTGCGACGCAGATGCTTCGGTTGCCGTTACAGTACTGTGTTTCTTCTTCATCCCAATCGAGTTTGTCTTCCGGCGGCCAACGGAATTACGGTGTTTGTTCGCCGTCTCCGGTTGTAATTTGCAGGAGTATTAGAATTTCCGGCGAAGGAGGATACAGGCAGAGGAAGAACCGGAGATTCGGTAGTGTGATAGCTCAGCAGGAGAAAGGAGACGCGACGGAGATTCGAGTTCCGGTTCCGTTAACGTTGGAGCAACAAGAGAAGGATAAACAAAATAGAGATGATGAAGAAGAAGAAGACGAAGAGGGAGAAGTAGATCCTGAAGATCTCAAATACGTCAATGAGATCAAACGGGTTTGTGATAAAAAATGTTATATGTTTAGGTCAAATTTGTCTGCTTTCTGTGTTGTAGTTATTAGTTCAAGGAGATGAAATGTTTTTGTTTTTGTATATAATTAGGTATTGGAGCTTCTCAGGAGGAACAGGGACATGATCTTCAGTGAGGTAAGCTCATCTCAATCAGTCTTTCTCCTCTATTATGTTAGAAAACTTAGGATCAGAGGGTAAATCAGAGCTTTCTACTTGTTTGAAAACCATAGGTTAAGTTGACAATCATGATTGAGGATCCAAGGGAACTGGAAAAGAGGAGGCTGCTTGGAATAGAAGATGAAGATGCTCCAAGTAGGGAAGACTTAGCTGAAGCCTTGGAACAGGTGAACTTTTCTGCGTTTGATTTTGTCTCAAGATGCACTTGTAGTGATTGGCTCTTAAATCTTGAATCTACCATACCACAACTGATCAAAATCATAATTTGAGTAGTAAACTTAAGTGAAATTTTGAGAGACATGAGCCCTGCTAGAGATAAGTTTTCCGCAAACTCATATATGGCTTAGTTCTAGGAGGTGCTCGTAGGACGCTATGGTGAATCAGTCGGTTTGGTCGGCGACTGTGTGGAGTTTGATTTGTTGCTTGAACTTGTACAAAATTGTTGATGAGTAGCTAATTACAGCAGTTACTTGGAAGCCCTGCTCAACCAACCTTTGTTGAGTTGCATTCATGCTTTATCTGTCACATTTCTTGTTCTAATGTAACATTGTGATGGCCAGTCTAACATAAGCTTAGCAATAGCCATCTGTGATTTCAAGGTGTCACTTCATAACACTAAGTCAAGCAGTTTGCTCTGTGTAGTTACAAGGGATGATCAAGTGGTAACTTGGTGGAGGAAGTAGTTTACTTTTGGCATTAGTATCAATGTCCTTAAAATTGTATTGATTTCTTCTCACAGGTAAATGAAGGGAAAATTCCTAAAGATCGTCTCACTCTCCAGATGTTGTATGAAGAAATGATCCGCTGGCCAAATTTAGAGGTACATCTTCTTTATACTATTGTTTTTGTTATATGTGCCCATTGATTGGTAGAGGGTCACTACCACTGTTTCGCTTGAGGCAGTTCAAATCCATGATTATAAAACTGTTACAAGCCATATAGACTATTTTATGAGACGTCCAATGGAATCATACACAGTACTGTATTCAGTTTATCAATGTCTCTTCCGCCAGAAAATCAGAAATATAATACTTGCAATTGACTAGGCATTACGGCGATGTGAATATTGGTACATGACCTTTCATATCTTAGTTTTGTTTGATGGCGGTGATTCCTATATCATTTTGTAGATATGATAAAAGAGATCCCTTTTTGCTTGTGCAACTCTGATGACCGCTAATATACAGTAATTTAGTTAGCTGAGCAGAACTCTGTTTTATAATCTTATCTTAACCCTTATTTTGTAATTTGATAAGGTTGAGGTTTCAAAGAAGCAGCGAGGAAAATCATTATACGCGAAATCCACAGACACAGGAATAGATCCAAAAGAAGCAGCCAAGAGACTCAACCTAGAGTGGGATTCAGCTGCAGCAATTGAAGAAGCCGATGTCGAGGATGACACTGGAGTAGCCAGCAAAGCCATGGTTTGTTCCGGAATCTCTCTCAACACTTATACAGTTATACATAGTTGCGATTTTAGCTTGAAATCATTACTCTTTCTTCCAACATTTGCAGCGGTTTTATTTCAAAACCTTGGGATCTGATTGATACTTCTCTTTCTCTTTGTTCCTATTCTGTTGCAGGGTTATGGAGCGTTGTACTTAGTCTCGTCTTTTCCAGTTATCATCGGTATCTCGGTTGTGTTAATCTTGTTTTACAATTCTCTTCAGTAGAGTCAAAGTTTTTGAACACACCATCACCAATGATCCATCATGGATGTTTTGTAACTTCAGATCATGAAATGAAATTTCAATTATTTAATCATATTCTTCCTTAATCAACGCCTTGTGGTCTGCACAAACTCAGGTAAACTTCTCCAAACCCTTCGGTAATATTATAATAAGTGTGGTTCGTGCGGGCATATCTATCTTTGTCAGATCTTGTCTCAATCTTGGGCATGGTCTCATGTCAACGATGTTATAAAATTAAACATATTTTATTTGTTTATGTTTATAGTAATTAAAGTCAATAACCTTTGGCTGAGATTAATACGCAGGAAACAAAAAAAAGAGCTGGACGTGCAAATCATGACTAAGTGTAGCCACCATTTGCCACCAAACGTGCAGTCCATGCTTACTCACTGTATAAGTATCCATCATCTCTTTAGCCTTAAGACTTAGCCATTTGTCGTTTATCTTCTTACTAATTAACATTTCAGCCCGGAAAAAACCGACAATGGCCACTGCAGTTCTCATGCCAAGGCTTAGCTTCAGAGACGAGAATAGTCATGAAGATTGGCAAGTTCTAAGCAGAGACGAGCCGAAGAAGAAGATCATGGTCAAGCAAACGAGTATGATGCATTCCGAGAGAGAGATATCGATGGACCCGAAATCAATCAAGTCTCTGTCTCTATCACCGTCCTTGAGAAGAAACGATAGCTTCGACATGATTCTGTTACCGGCGATGTCACCTCCTAGAGACTTAGATGCGCCTATGCCTCTTCCGTTGCAGCCAGTTCGGACCAAGTTTGTGAGCCGTAGCCTCCCAAACTCAACAGCTACTTCTCCTAAACAACGATCGGGTCAGATGCGGTCAATCAAAAGCAAGGAACAAGACTCGTCTTCATTCAGGAGAAGCAAATCTTGTGGAGCTACGAGCAAGAGACTCTCTCTTAAGACCAGCGGAATCAGAAACTCTTTCTTCCTCAAAACCGAATCGAACAAGAGCATCAACAACAACAATACATTAGAAGACGGATTCAAATGCAATGCTCTGTGTTTATACCTCCCCGGTTTTGGTAAAGGTAAACCGGTCAGATCATCAAGGAAAGACGATTCTTCTTCCTTCACCAGAACCACCACGATGACGACATCGTCATCATCGTCAGTTACCGTTTCAAGAACCGTCTCCGTGAGAGAAACCACCACGACGACCACAGTGATCTCAGCTCGAGCTTCGATGGAGAAATTCGATTGTGGCTCGTACACTTCGGAATCTGGAGGAGACGAAGGAGGAGGTCACTTATTTGACTTACCGTCCGAGCTAATCAAAAGCGGTTCCGGTGAGAACGACCAAGACGATCCGGTTTCATCAGCTTTCGTGTTCGACAAGGAACCTATTGAGAAAGAGATCAAAGGGGTTTTAAAGATTTCTGGTTCGAAAAACAGAAAATCGATGGAGTCTTCGCTACGTCACGTTCGATTCTCAACGTCATCGCCGGTTTCATACCCGACGTCTCCGGCGATCTCTCCACGGTTGCTAGAAGCCACCAAGAATTTCAATGCTTTCTTGGACGCTCAAGCCATTTGAATAATGACCGAGTTTAATTAACAGTTTAAACTTTAACTATAATACTACGGTGTAATATACGAGAAAAGTCTTGTGATAAACTTATAATACATTTCTATAAATAATTTTCTTTGTTAACTCATTACTCAAAAATCAACATCAATCTATCAACTAACTAAGAAATGTATTAAAAACGAGTCTTTTTATTTGTTTTTGAAAGTGATGATTACATACTCTAAATGTTTATAAATTTGAACAGTTAATATTGATGCATAAAAAGATCGTATTTAGCTGTTTAACTTAAACAGAATAATATATGTACTTGTATTTTTCTTCAACTTCTGTTTTCCTTCTTTATCTTAAACATTATGTCCTCGTATTTTTTGGGTTTTTCTTAATCAGCTCTCTCTTCTTCTCCTCCTCTTTTTTGCTCTCATCTTCCTCGTTTCTTCTTTATCTTCATCCTCTACAACTTTGACTTCTACTTCTTTATCGTTTTTTTTTCTCCAACACCTACTTCTTCATTTACTTTTTTTCTTCGTTTTATTTCTTTTGATTTTCTTTAATCTATCATTCTTACTTATCTCGTCTTTATCTTCTTCCTCTTTTGATTTGTCTTCCTATTCTTCTGCTTAGTCTTCCTTGTTTCCTTCTTCATCTTCATCCTCTGCGACTTTAACTTCTACTTCTTTATCGTCTTTGTCTTCTCCAACACCTGGTTCTTCTTTTAGTTTTGTTTTTTTTGTCTTATTTCTTTTGAGTTTTCTTTAATCAATCATTCTTACTTATCTCGTCTTTGTCTTCTTCCTCTTCTGCTTCCTCTTCTGATCTTCCTCATTGTATTTTTCTTCTTTTTTTTTCTTATTTTCTTTGACTTATTTTTCACAGTATTCATAATCTCAACTTCTTCTTTTTCCACTTTCTTACTCCCTCTCTTCTTTCTCTTATTCTTCTACTACTTTGTTTTCTCATTTTTTTCTTTTTCTCTAACCTCTCAAGCGTCTGATTCTTTTTCTTCTTCTTCTTCAACTTCCCCATCTTGTTATCCTTATGCGTCTTCATTATTTTGGGTTATCAACCTTTTTATTTTTTTTCGGAATTAATTGATTTGACTTTGTCTTTGTCTTTTTTTACTTCTTCGTAGTCTATTCGTCTTCTTTTCTGCTTTTTTTTTCTTTTATATCTTTTGACTTCTTTTGTAGATTTTTTCTCTTATTTTGAATAGGATTTACAATTGATAGTTGTATTGATTTATACAGAATCAATTTCCTTAAAGATAGTATAATAATTCTTGTGCAATAAAAAAGGAGAACGTAATATTTGTGGGCTAACATGTTTTTTTCATAGTTATTTGCTCTGATTATGCTACTTCTAATGAGGTTTTGTAAGACTTTTTTCATTTAATCAAAATCAAATTCAGACGAAATACTTTTTCAATACACAACTTTTCAAAAATGATATCTCATTACTCTCATTAGAAATTAGACCACACTGTCCGTTTCACATATATAATAATAATAAAATGATCAAAAGTTGCAACAAAGCTGTAGAATTTCAGGAACAAATTTTTTGTCATGCTTATTTCCTATTTTGTGCTCTTAGTTTACTTTCAACCATCTTGGTCATCTCTTCATTCTCCTTATTTATATCAGTCGCACATTTTTTTGACATCAAATCAGCTTCATCATTTCAAGTATTATTTTCTTGTAGCTTACGTTCATGAAACCACTTATATATTTAAATTATCTAAATATAAAAAACAATTACAGTTAATATATAAACGTATTATAGTATCTATCATATATAAATAAAATGGTATTATATGTGTTACCTCTGATAAAAAATATTGTACAAAAAAAAACAAAATCCTAAAATATGTTTCTTCCTTAATTTTTCATTTCTTCCGACTTCTTTTCACTGTCTCCAATTTCTTCATTTTCTTTCTTATCTTTCTTTATCATATTCGTCGTCTCGATATACTATTATTCTGGTTTTTTTCGTCTTTTACTTTTCTGTTTTGTCTAATTTAATTAATTTCTTTTTGCTGTTATCATGTATTATATCAAATTGATGAGAGCATTGTATCTTTTAAACAAAAAAACCATTAAGACCATCTTATATTGATCGGTTGAATTGACTTTAAAAGCTATATTTTTAGTAAGATTAGTGAAATGAATAAACAGCTATGACTTTTTAGGAAAAAGATTAATTAAACTGGTTTCACTTAATCGATTTAAGAAGGATCTAATTTTTTGATCCAAAATCTCAAGCCTTGTATATATATATATATATATCAAGACTAATACAATAAAAAAAAAACATAATGTAAAGCTCTAAAGATGGAGTTTTTTTTCTTTCTTTTATATGTTTTTCTTAATACATATGAAAGAGGGAGAGACGATCAATTAGTGTCTCTGTTCTTGTTATGCTCATCAGATACAATTCCTCAAGTATATATTTTTTTCTTTCAAACATCTGATAAGCAAATATCAAAACATAAGCATATTTCAAAAGTCCTCGGTTAAATGCATAATATCAACAGAAGGACAAAAAGGATTATACTAATGTTTTGTAAATGTTAAGAACCAGAGAAATTCAGTAGTCAGTCACATTGTTGTCGCTTCTAAGTTTGACAAATTTTAAATCACGGTCGGTGTTTACTTATACACACGCACATCATAGGTGTCACATAAAGCACCAGACACAAAATACGAAGAGACCAATTTTAGCTCATGATTTTAAAGCAAACGTGAGCTCCAATCTAAATCAAAGAATGCTACTACTCTAACACTGTTTACATATTCACATTTCCCGCTTTTGTATATTTGAACTGGTAAACCGTAGTTATGGAACACTCTATTCCTACCGTCCCAAGTTGCTGTCACGATCACAAGCCCCCACAGGTGCGACATACAAGGGTTGACGTTCTCGCACACGTTCCTCAAGAGCCTCAGATTAGACCTGATGCTGGCTTTAGCTGAAATCGCTGCTTCACCTGCACCTGTTACTACGCCAAGCTTCTCTTTTGGCCACGTTGTTGCTCATTTCATTGGAGAGAGACAGTCCATCCGCAACAGGAAATGAGCAACTTTTTTTCGCAGACCAGCAGTGAAACTGCCCCCCTATTTCCCCTTGCCTAGTCAAGGTATGGCAACATACATAAGACCTGATCGTTTTTGGTTTCTGAGAAGAAACAGCCTTCTTATTTGGTTGAGAGTAGTCCCATACATGAATTCCTCTGCCCTCTACTGCTGACACAATGTGTTTCCAACAAAGCAGAGGTTGGTCTTAGTGTTGTCGTAAGACTGGAAGCTGCAAAACACCACCAAGAAAATAGTAAAAAAAAAGATTAAATCAAAATAAACCCATAGAAAAATTCACCTCAGCACTGAAATTCCACTGTCTTTAGAACTTCATACAAAACCGAAGCAATTATGCGTGCAAACCCTCAATCGTGATACACAAGAACTTGTACCTCGGTAAACTAAAAAAAACAACATAGACAAATGATCCAATATCCCAAGAGTTAGATCCATCAATAAAGAAACAAACAAAGTTCTTTAATCAAACACAGTTTTGTCTAATAATACATGGCATATATCTGCTTATGTCATAAATAGAACCCGAGCCTAAATTTTATAAAGAAACAAACAAATAAAAAGTTCCATTTCAGTAAAACTGAGGACTGTGAATCTCTAAGGCAAATATCAAGTGACATCAAATCAAGTGTACACTGATCCTCCTCATGTATTCTGTTAGGATCTAGAACATAAGTAAATGTAACAATGGAATAAACTAACGACAGAACCATGTGTTAAAAAAAAAAGAGGAGAGAGGCGCACGTTATACAAAAGTTGTTATGAAATGTCTCAAGAATCTAGTAAACAAAAAACAGAGACAGCAGAACTGAATACACAAAGATTGTGCCATTAAACGTATAGTGATGGGAATTTTGAATACTGCAGAATTTGAGCTTCGCGAAACAAACGATTATAATCAATCCAACCCATAAATTGTGTGCGTCTCTCAAGGTGTAAACCTTGATATATCAAAATTGTAATAATCTTTTAGAAAAACATCAAACTATATATGTAAGTAAATAATAACGAAATATAAATGCAAGTAATCATGAAGAAAAGAAAGTCGTGGAGCCAACTTACTTTTAAGGAACAATAACTTTGTAACAAAAAAAAAGAATATGGACTTAAGCTTACCCTTCAAGTTCACGATCAGGTTGAGGCAGGTGGAAGCTCAAAACGGGAACATCTGAATTTAAGAAAGAGAAAATTCAGACAAATTACTTGAAGTTTTGTAATTCAAATGATGCATCATTCAACTCGACTTTGCAATATTAGTGATGCATCTTAAAATCATAACCACAAAGTATAGAATTATAATTTTTTTAATATAAAATGATGCATCTCTAAAAATATAAGCGATCGCATCATAAGTTGTCTAATTGTATTAAAAGTAAACCGAACGAATATAACAACAAAACAAATCGATAAGCCTACCTCTTGACATGTTGTCCACTGTATAAACCACCAACGAAGATAACCTAATCAAATCAGCATGGTGGAATGTATATATCAATATAAGACTACAAACTCGTAATAAAAGAAAACATTCAAACACAAAACAGTGAAAAGAACATAATATAACTAAATATGTGCTCGGTCATGAAGATTGTTTTAAGGAAAAACATAAAGAAGCTTATGTCAATTTATATTTACGAACAATAACTAATTACTCCAAAATATTTACGAACACGAATATATAAGAAGATGTTTAGGAACAATAAAGAAGAAGAACACGATACGAGCATATATAAAGTAGGATATATGCTTTAAGATTTAGAGTTTTTATGTTGGTGACTCATTTAACAGATTCGGTGGCTATGATCGAGCTTAAAACTGCTGGTCCATTAGCAAATTCAATGGCCCATAATCAATGAAAAAAACCAGGTCGCACATATTAACACGTAGGATTAATGATGATCCTATCAGAATAATTAAAACGACACATATAAAATTTTTAATAATGACATATAAGCTCGTTCTGGAGACAACATGTACGATTTTTGACTTCACAAATTTACTAATTAGACTCATGATTGCTCTATTTTATATCAAGAATTAGATTTTGTGTAAATCTTTTTAATGCAGTTTATAGAAACTCGTTGGGATCGCGTGGTTGCTTTCTTAATTTATGACGATGAATCTTGTACGTAGGAAACCATTAAAAATAAAATTTTAAATTAACATCAAAAGAAAAACAATTTATTTAAATGGAAACTGTAGATTCGCAGAGAATATCACAGCTGCAGAGATCATGTAGTTTCGGCTACTTGTGTTTCCGACAACTTCGAAAATATTAAATGAATTAAAATCCATCCTATTCAATCATTATGGGGAAAAAATCAAACATGTCACACGATTTAACAATACTCCAGTAATTTGTGAAATCGATATTAATGAAGTAGGGCTTCGTGAATGTGCTAAAATTTGTTTTACTTATCTTGTTTGCATATAACATTAAATGCCGAACCGTCGGTGCACATTCTCTTGTAGTCTTGTTTGTGTTTTTCTCTTTTTATTTTCTTGAAAACTATTGTTTCTATTTTTGTGCTAAATGATTAACTAAATGAAAATGATTAAACGAATAATTGTTGTCGTTATTATGAGATTTGTTGATTGGAAATAATTTTGTATGATTGTTGAGCAATTTGGCAGTGAGAGACTTTCCAGCCTTCCGCGGCAATTAACAACCACGAAACTTGGAAGGACCCTCTTCGTGGGGTCTACACTTGTGTGTTTTCATCGAAATAAAACTAAAAAATAAACTTTTCCTCTTTGGATTAATATTATCACAATCACCATTTCTAAATCAAGATGACCATTCTCATTGCAAATATTCGAGTATTTTAAACTGACTCGAATCTTAGTAAGAAAAAATGGAAAACTTTTGGTTAATTAACACGACAAAGATCAATCGAAGAGCACTAACTCATATAATCAAAGAGACCACTTTTCCAAATAAAATAACCAAAAAATATTATAAAAGCCCATAAAAGAGATGCTTATATACCAAGAGTCTGAGCTGTATGATTCTATGAACCCAATTTTATATTACAATAAAAGAATACTACAAAAAATTCATAAAAAAATGTTACATTCCGCCTAAAAAATACTTCTCAAGATTAACGTTACAATACAAAGTGGAAACATAACTTAAAAATCATTTTTTCCCTCTTTCTTTTTTTGTTTTTCATTGGCGTGTCCTAAGCAACCGATCTCCAATCGTCCTAATCTCAAACGTCTTGACCGCAAGGCCAATGTCACGCATCGTGGTATCAAGAACGTAAGGATTGTTATCAAACACGATGCGTGTGCCGTTAAAAAGATGACGGCAAGGCTCACGGCGCTGTGAGATCGAACCGTGGTAGTGAAAGTATCGGATTTTTCCTTCTGCTCTGTGGTATGTCTTGCCTTGTAGATTCTGCGACATGTGAACGCCGGTCGCGTATACGTTTCGCGGTTGAACCGCGTATTTCCGGTCCCGACGTGGTACTTTCTTCACGTCTCTATAAGCCAATTTCTCAAATCCCCATTTCCTGAAAACACACACAATCACATATATCAATCACACAATAACTAAAAACCATAGTAAAGTCGCAGAATATGAAAAAGAAACAAAACGATTTCAGCGGTAAAAAACCTACAAGATCAAAGAACGTTAATTTCACTATTTTGTTGAATTCTGTTAGGTTTTGTTAGTTTTGAGATCTAAAGCTAAAATCTTTGAAACTGAAAGACAAAAATTACAGGTCCTACTCATCCAAATTAAAAGAACAAAAAGACCCATCAAATCAAATCCTAGCAAATCTCGAGCTGGTTTTGAAAATTAGCCGATTACTTTCTAGCTAATTTTGAATTACGTTTTGCTCAACTTTGGAATCTAAAACTAAAATCTTTGACAAGAACACAAAGACCCATCAAATCAAATCCTAGCAAACCTCGTGCTGGTTTTTACTGGTTTTGAAAAATCCGAAAAAAGCTACAAGATTCTTTGAAAACAACTTTCACCCACATGGACCACCATCTTTGACAGAATCAGATGCAAATTCAACCAAATCTGTGATTCTAGATGCTTTAAACACACATGGGTTAGTAAAAAAAAACTTAAGCTTTTCGAATTCTACTGTTAAATGAAAAAAAACAAAAAGAATAACTTTTTTTGAAATTACCTGTAAGTTCTCGCCGGACCGTCGCCGGAGAAACAGAGCTGACTACTCATAGGCATCTGTTCAATAGTGAACTGAGAATATTCCTCTAAAGATTCCATCACCGAGGAAATCGTATTCTTCGGAGGAATATAAATAAACTCATCAACATCGAAGAAGAAGATCCACTTAGCCTCGAATCTATACCTATGCAAACAATCATTCACCACCATAAACTGATTATGATAATACCCATCGAAACGCTCCTGATCTCTAATATCGTGCACCGTCACTCTCCCGAGCTCAATCCACGGCCGTAAAACCTCGAGCACCTCCTCTTGGATCCCTCCGGCGTCGTGGAGAACGAAATGAGATCTCTCTCCGAAGAATCTCGCGTGGTAAGCGATCCATTCCCTAACTCTCTGCGGGCTTAGGTTTCCGTACAGAGACGAGCCGCAATAGAGGTAATCGTATTTCTCCCGGCGGCGATCGGAGCCATAAAGATCGAAAGCGACGGCGTTTTGGGTTTCCGTTAGGACCGGGATTGAATCGGTGATGTTCCGATCTGCGTCTCCGGTGGTCGCGTGTAGGAGAAGAGTCCCGCCGGAGTTTTTAGGGTTTACGGTGGAGGGGAAAGTGCAGTTGACGACGACGGTCGTGTAAACCCGACCGTAACCCCAATCGGTTAAGATTTTGGTACCGTCGGTTAAAACCCGGTTATCGGACTGGTTAAGCGGGACCCACTCGCAACGGTAAGACGGATGTGCGTAGACGTGAAGTGGTTTCGAGGATAAGCCGATAACGGCGAAAGTGTTAACGCCGCCTCTGTAAGCGTTCATCAACACGAAGTTATAAGCCGCCCAGCCGTAACCAGTAAACGAACGTTTAATAACGCCGTGATTTAACACCGTCGGCTTTTCAGTAAACGGCTGTTTGATAACGCCGTTATCTAATTCCGGCTTGTCAGTAAGTGGCCGTTGAATAACGCCGTTATCTAATTGCTGCTTCTCCACGACGGAGACGGCGACGGAGGAAGTGGAATTAACGGCGTCTGAAGCGGCGATACGTGAGATGCAGAATCGGAGCTCGGAAGCGGAGATGGAGAAAGAGGAAGGTATAAAAGGAAGAAGAGTGGCTAGAGTGCAGAGAACGAGTAACGCCATTAAAATGAGCTTGAGCTCGGCGGAGAAATTCCAGAAGAAACATATTAGGAGGTTTTTGTCCTTGGTGTTTTGGTCTCTCTCTTTCGCCATTTTCGGGGTTTTTCTTCTTCTTCTTCTTCTCTCTACTGATGAAGAAGACGAATGAAGCAGAGAGAAGGGAAAGTGACAGAGGAGAGATAAAAGTGGAGAATTGAACAGTAATGGAGAGTCTCTCTTTTTCTCTTTTTATAAGTCTCTGTTTTCTGAATAATAATGTTCACATTATTGTATTCATTTTCTTGTATTAATATATAATTTATATAGAAATTTATACATGTGCTAAACAGCAAATTATGTATATATGAAATGAAAAGCAATTAAAGTAAATTATTAGCTGCCAAAATGAGTTGGATTGGGGGAATAAAAGGGTTTAGCTTTTTCTTAACAGAATTTGAGGTCTTTTTATTTTCTCATTTTCTTTAATTTAACGTTATTCAATGCTCTATTTTCTCCGATTTCAACTTATAGCCTTACGAGTAAGTTAGTTTATCAATCGACCTTTGTAAATGGTATGCGAAAGAAAGTTTGTAACATGTCAGCTAGTAAGAATTTTAGAGGAAAATACTGACAGGTTATTCTTCTCTCACTGTATCAAATTTGTAGCTACATTACTCTTTAGAGGTTACAAGAATAACAATAATACACCACAAATTAAAATAGTGATTGATATTTTAAATTAAAAATATAACAAAAAGAAAAGAGAAGAAAATGTATGACCGAATAATAGACTTTTAAAGGACTCTTGCTTTTTGGTTTCCTCTACCGACGCATGGGACTTCGCATTTTAAATGAAATAACACGTCATATTCTACTAACACGTGTATGACACGTGGCAGTTTTCTGACCTGCCATGTAAATTATCATTCTCTCGCTCCAACGTTTTTTTTTTAATTATTGCATCTTTAGTTTCACTTTTCGCTTAGAAGCTTAGCAAACGGTCGAAAAAAGCAGGCTATGGTTTCAGAATCTCGAAGACTCATCATTATCCTTTACGTATAAAATAAATAAATAAAATTTAAAGATAAACTAATAATACAAAAATCCGTGATTCCTGCAAGTCTAACAGTTCTGTGCTATTTGATTTGACAAAATAAAATGATTTTCACCACTCCAAATCCAATACTAGAATGCACCTGATCTCTAGCCTCTACTAAGCAAACTATTACTTCTCTCATAATTGGGGCCTATTGGCTATTGCTATGTGGACTGATGTAAATAATGGGCCTTAACAATATCATCAGAAGCCATTGTGTGCCTTAGTTCCATCACTATATTCCATACAGTATTTTCTTTATTCGATTTGAACCATTCTTCTTTTTTTCTATTTTGTGTACAAGAAGATTTTGAGAACCGTAAAAAATGCAATTGAAAAGAGTTATTACAAAGTTACACTTGTAACTATTCGATTTTGAGTGGACAGATCTGGGTGTGGAGTATGATATTAATTCCACAAGGAAAACAAAGAAATCAAAAAGTGAACGTAAACGAGCGAAGAAGTGAAAGATAACGCATAGTGAAATACCAAGCTGTAAATTAAACCTCCGTAATTGATTACATATCCAAATGATGATTTTCACTTAACTTTATGGATGGATATTAATGATGAAATACGTAATTATATGCCATCATGATCCCTCATGACACATTTCTTTACAAGAATATCATAATTCAATTTGCATAGTTTCCATTCTAGTCCATCTTTGTTTTATTTTAGATATATATGCGCAAAAAAATTCTTTTAAATAAAAGGTATATACACAAACATTTTTATCCTAAAAAGGTAAAATATAATATTCTCTCAATTTCTAAATTCTTAACATCTTATGTTTTCGCGTTTTTATAACAGTTCTAGTTCTATAAGTATAACAAGGTTATAACATAAGTTTTTAATCGAATTTAAAGATGATGATTTTTTGTGAGGAGGGTATTTCCTATGTTTTTAATAGAATAATTTGTTGGACTTTTCTTGTTCCTAAAAGGTTGATTGTATATACTTTATTTAATTATCCTATAATATTAGCGTTAGAGCATTTAATAAGTGATGTAAGAATCATTAGAAAGTGGAAAATAGTATTAACACGATTATTGGAAGACAAATAGAATATACTAAAAATTCAACCAAAAAACATTAGTTAAAATAAATATTAATTGTTTTTAATATGTGATGTTAAAAAAATATTTTTAATAAGTGTGAAAATCCTAAAAGTTATTTTGTTAAAATTGAAAAGAATATGATATTAAGAATTGCATCAATTTTTGTACCAAATGGGGTCTAACAAAGCTTCTTTTTATATTTTTTCTTCCAACTCAAAAGCTAAGGAAAATTTGTTATCAACAAAAAAAAGAGAGAATAAAGTATAAAAAGTTCATTAATAATCTAACACATGACATTGGTTCTTAACTTTTGCACATGCTCTGTCTCCCTTCTTTACATTATTCCCATATCCCACAAACTATCAACCTCAAAAACAAATTAAAGAAACTAAAATAAAAATATAAACACACATATATAAATATATTAAATTCAAAGCAAAATCACACACACACATACAAAAAGGCCTTTGTACAAAAATCAATACCTAAAGTTAGGACCTCAAATCTATAAATCACATGCTAGACATAGTACTACAATAATCGATATTATTTAATTACACAACCAAAATGAGACAATAGCAATGATCTTTTTGCCTATAGAGCCGCCATGGCCGTACACTCGAGATGCCTAGGACAAGTGATCAAGTGGTCGTTGGTTAAACCAGCAGCTTGCATTAACGAATGTATAACGGTCGGACCAACAAATCTAAACCCACGACGAACCATGTCTTTGCTTATGGTCTCCGATTTCGATGTCTTAACCGGAATCTTTTGACAAGATGTGTATTTTGTGGTGACCGGTTTGTGTTTCAAAAATCCCCATATGTATTTGTTGAATGACCCGAAATCTCTTTTTACCTGAAAAAAAAAAAACTTTTATCAATAATCAATGAAATTAAAATAATCAATGAAATTGAATTATATGTATAGGCAAATAAACTGAACCAAGCCAAATCGAAATGGTTAAATCCAATCTCGTGATTAATACCTTAAGAATTTGTTTAGAGTTGTCAACAATTGCAAGGACTTGGCTAAGGCCAATGCCATAGTCATTAACTATTGAGTGTATCTTCTTCTCGTTGAACTCTGCGACCAACTCTGCCTCAAAACCAGAGAAAGCCTCTCTGTGAAACCAAAGGTTACAAATTTAAACCAAAAATTTCACAAGAAAAGCAAAAAAGTAGCAATTAATTTATATTAGCAAATCATTTTCCATTTGGTAGGTATCTTGAAAGTTCTTCTTACCTAAAAGTGTTTCTTCTCTTCAAAACCGAAGTCCAATCGGAACCGACCTGAGCTCCGGTTAACACCAGAAGCTCAAACAGTAGCCTGAGAAAAGATTTCAACACTAATCTTAATTAGTTTCAAAATCTTCAGAAATGGGTTTTGTTAAAAATTAAAGGAAGAAAGATTTTATTTACTTGTCATCATGAACAGGAACTCCCCATTCTGTGTCATGGTAAGCCACATAGATTGGATCTGTCAAAACAAAATAAAATTTTAGATCCAGTTTAATCAATGTTGACTTGAAATGGAAGAGTAAAAAAAGGTTTTCTTGCTGAACAAGTAACTTTTACACACCTGAACTTGTAGTTATGAAACTGCATCTCTTCTTCTTCTCATGCTCAACAGTTAAGTTCTTTTCGTTCGATTTTACGGATTTTACGGATTTTATCCTACCGTAATGAGAGATTTTCTTCTTTCTTTCTTCTTGTTTCATCGCAACCTCTTCTCTTCTAGCAGCAGCTATACTTCCAGGCTGCTTCTGAGCAATCACCATGGACATAACCTCTCTGCAGCCACCATCCGTGCTCTCTGATAATTTCACCGGTTTAGGCTTCTCAGAACCGGCCGGGTTTCTTAAAGATTTTGATTTGGGAGACAATGGAGGAGAGTTTAGAAAAGTTGGTCTTGGTGAGGGTATCTTTGATGGAATGGGATGGATTGAAGGCTTAGGAGGAGATTTCTTGAGTGAGTTGCGTCGGTCTAATGTCGGAACTTGGTTTGATTTCGGTTGAAGAACCGGACGACCGTTGATTTGGGAAATAGCTTCTTGGTTCATGTTCTTTGATTTTGAGGAACACATTTTTTAAATTTTCTTCTCTAGCTTTGTGCTCTTGAAGGATGAAGATAATGGGATGAAACAAATGTGAGATCTCTAAAAGGGCTTTTATATGTGGCAAAAAGATGATGAATTGTGGGGTAGGCATCAAATTTAATAATTGCTAGTGGGCTGTACTCATATTAATTATATGCACACTAATTAAGGTTTTTCAGACAAGAGTCTTGGATAGTGTTTAATGAGGTTTGTGGGTGCTACTTAGGGTTTTAATTAATTAGGGTTTGGAGTGAAAGAGAAGTGGGTTTCTTTAGGAACATGGTGGGGTGAGATATGTAATGCAAATCCAGAATAGCCTATTGCTTAGGGAAGTGCTACTCTTGGGTCACATTGTAGGACAAGGACACCACATTCTTCTTCTTTTTTACCCTTATCTCATTCATATTCTATATTGTTCATGTATTTATTTTGTATAAAATTGGTTGATATTATCTTACTTTTATGAACGAATTTAGGGCTATTCTCAAGGATATGAAGCTGTTTTTGGTTATATTTTCCAAAAATTCCACAAATTGCTTTTCGAAGGTGCTTTTAACTGTTTTAAAGATCTTTCTAAATTTATGAAGCATTCTTAACTTTCTAAACGCATTCATAAATCAGTTAAATAAAAATTTAGGAAGACTGCCTACAAATAAGTTTCTTAAACAATCTAAACAAATATGGGTATGTTTTAAAAACACCGTTTATGTTTTTGGTATTGGTATTCTTTAAGAACCTATGGTTAATGTTATGTATAGCTCCTAAGTTTTGAAATATTGATCATTAGAAGTTAACTGTTTTCGAAATGTTTTTAAAATTCTTACTCTTTTTTTTTTGAACATCATTTAATTCTTACTCATTATCTAAATGTTTCAATGCACACCATTGCTTATGAAAGAAAATAGTTAAGTATATGGTATTCTAATTCGTTATGATTTCGGCTTCGAAAATCTATATTTAATCAGCAATTAGCAATTTGTCAGCGAGAAGAAAGAAAGGTCATTCTCTCACTTTTGCCTTTACTATAAACTAGGTGAATACCTGCACGTAACGTGCGGATTTTTCTTTTCAAATTTTTCGAATTTTTTTGTTATAATTTTATTAAAATTATAACAAAATTAATATAATCATTACTTATTATTTACTTACTTGTTAATATTTTATTCTAATTTTTTTTAAAATATTAATTTAAAATATATATCGAATATTATTTAATAATTTAAAATTATATTAAAATTAATACATATCATTCAATATTTTTAATTAGTTATATCATAAATTTTTGTTTGACATTTACACAAATTTTAATTAATAGTCAATTAATTAAAAAAATTAAAATTAATATAATCATCATTTTATTTGTTACTTGTTAGTATTTTATTATAAATAATTTTAAAAATTAATTTTAACATCTTGAATATTATTAAATAATCAATAGTTATATAAAAATTATATATATATATATATATATCTATCAATATTTTTAATTAATTATAACATAAATTTTAATTTAACATTAATATAAATGTTAGTTAATACAATCTTTTCATATTCTTTAAGTGCTTATATAAATGTTAGTTAATACAAACTTTTCATATTCTTTAAATGTTTTAAAATTTAATATTAAATTTATTATTTAAAATTTAGTTGACAGGAGTCAACTTCTCCAATGCTGATGTGTCAAGCATATGGAGAAAGTTGATTGTCTTTTATATATAAGACTAGGTGAATACCCGCACATAACGTGCAGGTTTTTTTTTCAACTATTTCTAATTTATATATTATATATTTTTCTAAGAAAAAACATAATCATTAATTGCTATATTATTATAAATAAATTAATTTTAAATATAGTATCATTAAAAATTAAAAGTTTTATACCAAAAAACCATCAATATTTTTAATTAATTATAACATAAATTCTTGTTTAATATTTACATAAATTTTATTTGAAAATTAATTAATAAAAAAACTTTTCATATTATTAACAAATCAAAAGTTTTATACAAAAAATCATCAATATTTTTAATTAATTATAACATAAATTCTTGTTTAATATTGACATAAATGTTAATTAAGAATCAATTAATAAAAAAAAAACTTTTCGTTTTCTTTAAGTGGTTAAAAACTTGATATTAAAACTTATTAATTATTTTTCTTTAAAAATTGTAACTTTAAATTAAAAATTGACACATGTCATCTCTTTGAGAAAGTTAGTCATCTTTTATATATAAGATTTAATCAGCAATTAGCAATTTGTCAGCGAGAAGAAAGAAAGGTCATTCTCTCACTTTTGCCTTTACTATAAATTAGGTGAATACCCTCACGTACGTGCAGATTTTTCTTTTCAAATTTTTTGATTTTTTTGGTATATTTTTATAAAAATTAATATAATCATCACTTATTATTTACTTACTTGTTAATATTTTATTCTAAAATTTTTTAAAATATTAATTTAAAATATATATTGAATATTATTTAATAATTTAAACTTATATTAAAATTAATACATATGATTCAATATTTTTTAATTAGTTATATCATAAATTTTTTTTTGACATTTACACAAATATTAATTAATAGTCAATTAATTAAAAAAATTAAAATTAATATAATCATCATTTTATTTGTTACTTGTTAGTATTTTATTATAAATAATTTTAAAAATTAATTTTAACATCTTAAATATTATTAAATAATTAACAGTTATATAAAAATTATATATATCTGTCAATATTTTTTAATTAATTATAACATAAATTTTTGTTTAACATTAATATAAATGTTAGTTAATACAATCTTTTCATATTCTTTAAGTGCTTATATAAATGTTAGTTAATACAAATTTTTTATATTCTTTAAATGTTTTAAAATTTAATATTAAAATTTATTATATAAAATTTAGTTGACAGATGTCAACTTCTCCAATGCTGATGTGTCAAGCATATGGAGAAAATTGATTGTCTTTTATATGTAGACTAGGTGAATACCCGCACATTACGTGCGGATTCTTCTTTTCAATTTTTTTCAATTTTTTATATATTTTTATAAAAAATAATATAATCATCACTTATTACTTACTTACTTGTTAATATTTCATTCTAAAAATTTTAAAATATTAATTTAAAATACATATTGAATATTATTTAATAATTTAAAGTTATATTAAAATTAATAAGTATCATTCAATATTTTTAATTAGTTATAACATAAATTTTTTTTAATATTTACACAAATATTAATTCATAATTAATTAATAAAAAATTAAAATAAATATAATCATCATTTCATTAGTTACTTGTTAGTATTTTATTATAAATAATTTTAAAAAATTAATTTAAAATACATCTGGAATATTATTAAGTAATCTACAGTTATATAAAAATTAAATACATATCTATTAATATTTTTAATCTGTTATAACATAAATGTTTGTTTAACATTAATATAAATGTTAATTATGAGTCAATTAATAAAACAAACTTTTCATATTCTTTAAGTGCTTTATAATTTAATATTAATTAAAATTTAAGTGACAAGTGTCAACCTCTCCAATGCTGATGTGTCAAACATATAAAAAAAGTTAAGCAACTTTTATATATAAGATATTGCTAGTGCCTTAGTTATAATTATAATTTTGAGAGAGACCTTTCATTTAAGATCCAGCATGACAATTTTGCTTCACGATCAAATCTTTTCTTTTTCTTATTTATTACACCTACAACCTCATTTACAGTTCATTATTCTCTTACAATGATTTTAAATTTTTTAATCCGCTAAATTAATATGAGACAATGTGATATCCATATATAAAGATTTCTAAAGTTAAGACACAAATCATATAGATGGCCTCGAGTAGAAGAAGCATTCTCGTGAACTAATTACATTAAAAAATAATACACTAATAAAATAAAAGTTTTTCGCTATTTTCATTTAGCTGCAAAGCCAAGCTTGTGACAATTTGACAAATAATTATATGGAATAAGAAATAGTATAAGACTAAAATGATATGTATATAAATAATTGAGAGGAAAAAGATGGCATAAGAATATAAATATGAAATTGGTCCCAGGATTCAAGCTGTGTAACAATGGACCAGCTTCCAGCTTTTTTTGTGGAATCTCATCTTTTAGCTAAGCTAAAGCTTACATTTAAGCCTTTATCTACATATATGGTCCTTCAAAATTTATACAATAAAGGCTTTTAAGGATAATTGCAAGAAAGATATTCGAAATGATTGTAATTTGATTCATATAAGTACTAAACCACTGATTATTTGAGTATGGATCAGATACAATAACTATATACACGCAAATAAATAATATTTGGTTCTTCCGAAAATTCTAAAAATTCTGTAATTTTATCCGAATATTCTAAAAAATCCTATGTAAAAAATTTTTGTTGGAAAAAAATTTCGCGAAACACATCACATTTTTTTTTGATAAATCCTATCGACTGATCCGGTCGGCCCCGGTAGGAACGCACCGAAGTGCTATAGTGTGGACTTTTCTCTGGTTCAACGGTTCAACGGACACCATAAGCTTCGAGCGAACTCGAGTCAACGGGCCATGAGATCCATGAGATCCAAATGGGTTACCACACTATCCGAAACACATCACATGAGTAAACTAAATAATTGAATACTTAAGAAATTAAGTGGTTTATAAAAATTGATTATTTAAAGTTAAGCTGAAGCTTTGTAGGATGACAACCGAACAACCAAAGTCTCTTCAAACGTCAACTCTTTCTTCTTCTTCGTTTTATCTTTCTTAATAGAGACGGTAGTCTCCTTTAATAATTATTAATGTTTGATGTTTTATGAGAAGATAATATTACAAAAAGGTTGAGAAACAAAGAAGAAAGTGAAAAGATGGGGATGTGGTTCTTTAAATAGAATCACGAGGAGGAGACATCCCATGTGTTGATGAATAAACCATATAAAAGAAATTCTTGTGACTTGATATAACATTTAACAAAATTTTTAAGTTTTTTTTCTTCTAAATATTTTTTCATTATCTCTTCTTAGTGAGCTTTAAATAG